TTATAGTAATATGCAAGAACTGGTGGTCCGATAGTGGAAATGCTTCAGATAGAAAAATATTTTTAATAATTTGGATTTTTAAAATAAGTACCTAATAAACTTCAAAATTTCTTTTTTTWWAAATTTATTTCAATGATAGGTATGTCCAAAATAGTTTCAAATCATTTCATAGATATTTCAATTATTAATTTGTGTTTATGATAATACAAAATTAGCAACTTAAAAAGTTTCTCAATTTATATTTAAAATGTTGCGAGATAAGCTGTTAAAATATATAGGTACTTAACAAAAACAAAACTTTTTTAGTTAATATACTATTTTAAACAATTATTGATTYTTTGGTGCATTAATTTCTACCTTAACTGTGTATCCATTTGATACGTCGTGATGCATATGGAAATGTAATGAAGCACCGAAACCGGGCCATTCAATTGTATGGCCAAGAAAGCTCATTGCCATTCCTATACTAATATCGTGTCCCGAATAAAGATGCATTTTTCTTGATGTATTATAATTATTTGAACGCGATTCCATGTTCGAACCAATTTCATTTAGCAGAGGCCCTTTAACATATATGAAACAAATTTGTWAATTTATAAATGAATATTTTGTACTTAAAACTCATTACATAAAAACGTGGTTTATAAGTGGAGTGTGTCTGATACCTATCTGAATTTAAATATTGTATGTTTCCATTGTTTTCAAGGCTGATAAGTCTGATAGCCTTAAACAAATAATTTATTAAATGGTAAGGCTAGGTATCTAAAAACCATTTATAGATTAAAAWAAATTCAAACTTGGGCAAGTTAATGATTATTTTTATTAATAATTAAAAATTAATTAAAAAACGCGAATTTTTACACACAATAAAATTTGGACAAAATTGATTTTGATTTTAACTTTAAAACAAATGACCATAGATACATGCAATTTTCACCGAATGTTTATATAAGTATACAGGGTGATTCTTTTAAGTGGGTACACTAATTATCTCAAAAAGTATTTACTTTTTTCAAAATATTTTTTTACATGGTTTCAAGTTGTAAATAATTTGTTTTAGTAAGACCATGAAAATAATAACAGAAATAATAATGAACTTTTATTTGTTAGTCTCCAATAAAATAAATCAAAACAAGAATCTTTGTTGCACTTGACACTATCCATTACAGTAATCCCCTTGTAACCTACCGTACAGCAGAACGACATCCACGACTTACCCACTTTTTTTGAGATTTATTTTTTTACAATTTAAATTTAAAGTGAGTATTAAGTCGATTGACTTGGATAACATGTGGGTTTTTCTCTCTCAAAATGTTTTGCTACCTCGACCTCCAAAATCATCATCATCTTCATCATCGGTGTTTCGATAACTCCTTGGTAAAAATCCATAAATCATAGACTAAAGCCACGTCTACCACAAGATGTTTTACTTGAAGCTCAAGAAGAGGCTATTCAGGCTCATAATCAAGCTAAAATGTATCCGTAAACTTATTTTAACAATATAAAT